GCACTGACCTTGACAAGCCAGGATATCAGGTGAGTGGTGTGTTTGGAAGCCAAGCTAGCTTTTCTAGGGACTTGTGCGAGCAAGGTTTAGATTGTTACTTGAAGAGATCCAGGGTCCTCGGTGCCAGCGCCGGCGAGGTGAAACAACCAAGCACGCCCGTAAATTCCCCCCATCTAGAATATTCACATTAAACTCGCCCGTTCCCCATGGGCCTGGCCCAGGTGATGCCGCGTACAAAGTAGCTGGGCCTGGCACCTGAGACTGGTCCGCGGCCGTTTGCAACGGCCCAACAGACGCCCAGCGTCCTAGGCCAGGCCTGGGAGGCGGCACCGCTCGGCCGCTCCAGCAGTCTAGCTCCTCCGCTCCTACGACGCGCGACCAGACGCTCGCCCTCGCCAGTCGCCAAAAATCATCCTTCGATCCGAATCAGCGGCGGCGGAGATGGGTGCGGAGTGCCGGTACGAGCTGGCGCAGGCGGCGTACATCAAGCTGGCGCTGCACGCACTGAAGTACCCGGCGACCGCCGTCAACGGCCTCCTCGTCGGCCGCCTCGTCGAGCCTTCGTCCTCACCGGCCGTCGTCTCGGTCATCGACGCCGTGCCGCTGTCTCACCACCCGCACCACCTGCCGCTGCTCCCCACGCTCGAGCTCGCGCTCACCCTCGTCGAGGACCACTTCGCAACCCAGGGTGAAGGCCTCGCCGTCGTCGGATACTACCACGCCAACCCGCGCTGCGACGACACCGACCTCCCGCCAGTTGCCAAGCGCGTCGGGGACCATATCTTCCGATACTTCCCCCGCTCCGCCGTGTTGTTGGTGAGCTACGTTTCTTTCGTTCTTTTGATCTCCGATCTGCGCGGCTTAGGAGGGGGATGCAGATCTCATCTTTCTTTTATTGATTGGTTAGGTCGATAACAAGAAGCTGGAGGAGGCCGTCAAGGGGAAGTCTCGCGACCCGGTGGTTCAGGTACGTTTCCAAATCTTTCTCAAATATACCTTCAAGACTTTTTAATTGGCACCAGGAGATTAGCAGTGCTAAGACAGACACAGTACCCCGATATTAATAGTGTTCTATGTTTATCGAGATGTTAGAGTTTACAGTGAGCTTGCAAGGGGTAGCCAAACTATAATTTGTTATTTTATTTTAGACGGATGGACCACAGGCCTGTTCCATTTTCCATTGAAACCAACTTCACGGCTGTTGTTAAAACTTGGCAAGCCTTCCAAAAAATAGAGACTTGCATAGAGTAGAGTTGATTTGAGCAAAGCTGGGAAGATCATCATTTTGATATCAGATTTTTTTTATTATTTTAACTGAAACTATATTAGAGTTGGTTGCAGAATTGTTGTAGTAAAACCACATGATATTGTATTGATACAACAGATTGGCAATTTTTTAGTCTAGTTAGCAGGGGTTTTACTGCCTTACTGGTCCTTTTTTGTTTATGATGCACAAGAATTGCAAGGGTATCAGGTTGCAAAGTAGACGTGCCCTAATTTTATGGTTACCAACAGGTTCATTATGCGATAGCTGAACATTTTTCCTTTGAACTGGTATCGCATCAGGGTTGTGTAGTTCAGACTCAGGAGGGTCCAAAAAGTTTGGAAACCTTCCATGGAGACTTGCTTGTAGTAAGCTTGATTTATGCAAGTTTGAAAAGATCATTTTGAAATAAGAGATATAAATGTTCCTGTTCATATTAAAACAAAAGACTATTTTATTTAGAGAACATTTATACTTAAACCATATGACATTGAACAGATGGCTGTAAAAAATGCACTGAACTGTAAAAAGTAAAAGTTGGTCATCCATTGTTTAGACGAAAAGTGGGCTACATGGCTCATTAGTTGGGCTAAACAGCCATTTAATCAACTAATTGGCCATTTAGGCATAAACAGCTGACTGGCTTGTAGTGTTTACATGCAATCTAGTCAGCCTCAACAGGCATTTTGGTGAGCCATGTAAAATTGTAGACTGTACATGCAGACAGATTTTTTATTGCTGGGAATATTGGAGTGTAATATAATAGATTGTCACTCTAGGTCTCTTAAGTAATCTGTTATTGAGCCTAGAATCTGTCTTGTATATGCCTACTACTATTGGGCGGTGATTTATGGCGCGTATGTGATGGTGTTCTATGGTAGGTATTTATATTAACAGTGATATGGGAATTTCACCTAACCACCAGTTCATCGTTTGTTCCATTTCGCAATGAATTCACCACACAGCGGCCACTTGCTTTATTTTCACCATGTCACCCCACTGCTAGCATGTAAACAAGCAACATAGAAGAAAATCGAGGGCAAAGAATGGCTGTACATCCACACAACTTACACAGTTAACTTCCAAGATGCAATATATTCCCTTTAATAACATGAAAAATGCTATCTTGTCTAGTGCAGAATCAACAGTTAAAGCGAATATGTTTTGGCTATTATGCTATGAGATCTTACATACCTATGTAATATTGGATGAAGCTAGAACCAGGCTTTAAAAGGCAAGAAACTTCTAGAAGATAAACTAAAATAATTTTTATTTGCATATCCTTAAAGATTTTCAGTGTCACTTAATTGTTGTATGACATGACTTAAGAAGCAATTCTTGAGCAATATATATGCACTATAAGATCAAGAAGTGTCCTGGATTCAGCTTTATATGGTCACTCTAATTTGTTAAGCTTTGATTTTGAGCTGTATTTGAACAAAATACGCAAATGCACTAATTTTGTATCTTGACTTGATGAATTATTCTGGAAGGTGATATTCATATGAAGCACAAAGTGTTTATCCTGATATGCCTGAGTTAGCAGCAAAGTATATCAAAGATTAGTGTAGTTATCAATTCTAGTTTGTAGCATTGCCATGTGAAAATAGCAAGACCATTTTTTTCTTCTTCTTTTTTACGTTCTGCATATTTTGTCGATGACACTATGAATGTTCTGTATAAATGTTTGTAGTCTACCTTGATAATGCATGATTTCTGGCCTGAAGTTTGTTAGTGTTTCATAGTTAACCAGTACTAGAAAAAAGGTCGTTCAAGACATAACATGATAGAATATCCTTGGCTTCATATCATTGAGTATTCTTACACGATCAGCTGCATGACCAGGCCCCTAAATTACTTATGAAAATAGCTAGAGAGGTCAATCTTAGTTACTTACAAAGCTGGTTCACATTGATCCAATGTTCTTGTAGAAATAATGTAGTTAGCTTGTTTTGATCTTGCATGGTTCATGACCCATAGTTAATGGCATATGCAGTTGTACACCAGGGATTCATCAAAAAGTTGGCGTCAGGCTGGATCAGATGGAAGCAGTCAGCTGGTTCTGAAAGAACCTTCTACCAATGTTGTCCTAGCTGATCATGTTACAACAAAGAAATGGGAGAAAATTGTTGATTTCGACGACCACCTTGATGATATTAGCAAGTAAGTAAAATGCTTCCTTAACAGCACTTGGAGATTATGCCCAAAAAATGAAAAAGAGAGAAAATATTGGATAACATCTAGGAGAATCTTTGGGGTGGGGGTGGGGGGTTGTATTACATTTAAAACTGAATAAAATTCCATTCGCTGTCATGTGTAATGGTTTTCAACCATTTGATGGACAGCACTTTTGGCCAAGCAGTTTATAGTCATTTCTAGCCACAGGAGGGGACGTTTGTCCACATATCCTTTAGCAGCATTTGTGGTCGAGCAGCATAGGCTGAGAAGTCGTATCATGGGCATGAGACTACAAATTGCATGTCAATCTAGCTTTTAACCATCATTTGCACTTTTACTATGAATACATGAGACCAATCTTTCCATATGTGTGATAACAAATTGGCATCAAAGAGTGATGTTACCATAAGAAACTTGGAGAAATTAGTGGGAAAATGAGACGAGCATTATAGCATCATTACTTCAGTTGTGTTGTCACATGCAAAAGACAAAAAACGGGACATTAACACGTAAATAAGTGAACCATAACATACCTGACTTTCACGCAGTTTCTTTTTTGTGTGCGTGAAGTTTTGCTGACGTTTCCTACAATAAAAAAATACGTTTTGCAGGGATTGGTTGAACCCAGGCCTCCTTGACTGAATTTTCATGATTGATCTCTCTATACTGTATTGGAACTTTGCTAGAAATGAGGTGGTGAAGCTCGTTCTGCTGTACTCTGGAGTCTGTACTTTGCTCAGTCGCAATGAGTTATAAGCATATATTTCAATTTAATGTAAACCAGTGATTTTGTAACAGTTACAGTTCAAAATGCTAAAATTGACGTTGAGATGATATATTTGAGTAGATTCATCCCTGCGGGCTGCGGCATATTAATTATGCAAAGGCCTCGAGATTGTTCAACGATCATGACAATTATTATGACTTGTCAAAGGAAACTTCATCATATATAAATTTAAGAGGCTGTTTGGATCCTTTCATTTTGAAGCAATTGGAACCAAATCTTCAGAAAAAGAAAGGGAAAGAACAGGATCGGGTTGCCGCCCAGTGCAGCGGCTGCTCGCACTAGTTGATTTCGTAACAGTTTTACTGTTTTGACGATAACATAAATATAGCAATCTCCTACCATTTCTACTAAAATTATGACCACACGTTTGAAAAAAGAAGTATTAACAATAATGAGTCTCCTTCCATTGCATGATGAAACCTGTTGCGATACATTGCATGTTCCATGGAATTTCTGACAAAGCCACTGGTCCCAAGTCCCAAGTCCCAACAAGCTTCTGTCCTTGGATTTCATGGATGATACTAGGTTTCCATCCCAATTTCCACAGGCCAAAGCACAACAGAAATTTACAGTGGAATCAGTTTTTCAGCTCCAGCTGTACATGATCCTTCATATGCCATACCATAAACAATGTGCCGTACATTATGGGAGCAACAGAAGGAAACCGGCATGAATGGTTAGGCCTCCAGCTATACAAAAAAAACTTCATCCCGCAAGCGCTTTACGATGATTCAGTGATTCAAGAACAATTTCGGAGCTATAGACAGCAGCTCACTGTTCGATCTTCATGGAGCCTGTAGAGCACAGAAGGAACATTTCTGTAAGATGGATGGATTACTAGGAACATTTGTTTTTTGAGGAAACGTACTAGGAACATTTGTATTTTTCAGGGAGAGAATAGAGAGGATCATATAGATACCAGAGTTGTTGGTGCCGCTATCGGCTGCCACACCAGGGTTGAAGTTCATGTGAGGCATATTCTGAAGTCCTTCCCACATAGAAGGTATCTGGATTCAAGGTTCACAGAAGCCCATCACCTCTTCAATCAGATAATATATGTGAACCCGAATATCATGAAATAAACTGAAAATACCTGGTTCATTGTTGACACGTCGTGAATAGTTCCGTGCAAAACATCGACAGGATTGGAAATGTTGCACATCATTTCTGGCTGCATGATTCCTTGGTTGAATGGAGCAGTAAGGCTGCTTGATCCTGGATCGACTCCATAGAAAGCAAGATGTCTGTCTTGTGAAAGCATCATCTGCAAACAACAATTTAAATTTAACAAAGCATATCTAAAATAACACCTAGAGTGAGACATAACGATCGAGTGGGTGGATTTACTTGTTTGGATATGATCTGCTCAATGTCAAAGCCAAGCTCGGGGTTAACAGTTGCAAGTTTCATTGACAAGAACTGCAAGTTCGAAATTGTATTAGAATACTGGATTATATACTAACAAGATGCCACACATATTTCAAAACAATTCAACTACAAATGCACTAACACTACCTCGACTTGTTGTTGCAATGACTGCACATAGTTGATAATCTCATCGAGCATGACTGCCTTGCCAGTGATCTGTTCGAAAGAAATTTGTAATGTGTGGACTACAGGAGTCTTTGAGAAGTTGCTCGCACCAAACAAAGGAGAGGTTACCTTATTGCATCCAGGAACAAGATCTTGAAGAAGCTTCATTCTCTCACTTATCTTCTTTCTCCTCAGCTGCGGAGTTTCATTAACTACAAATGTGAGTAAAGATAATAAAGCAAACTGAACTGGTAGTTACTTGCTACAAGAGCGAAATTTACTCTTTCTGCAAGGTTGTGGCTGTTAGTGGCTTGGCCTCGCTTTGCCCGGACATGAACATAGTCCTCTTTAGTACCATCACCATCAGAAGAATCTTCCTTGCTTTGCATTTTGGGCGAAATCTTTCTGTTCCCCCTCTTCCATTGAATTCCTTTCTGGCTGAGATGAACCTTCTGTTTGTTGATCACCTGCATTCTATAGCCAACCATAACAGGACAGTTGGTCATTACCATAAGAAACCATCAACATACAATTTCACACATCCAGATTAGAAGAGGAAGTGAGCTCAACAAGAAATCTTACATGCAACAACGTGACACGGTCCTCCATTCCTTTCCTCTTCTTCTCACCTCCGCTATGCTCATCACTCATTTGGATGTCCTGACTCAATGTACCTGCGGGAATAAGTATTGTTTCTATTAACTGCAGAATTGTCGCCTTCAGAAAGATCTACCTGGCAACATGATAAAAAAAACTAACCAGATGAAGATTGATACAACCCCGGTCTATCTTCTAAGCCCATGCCGTAAGATCCAAACCCATACTGTCCACTATAAGCCATCTTTTGATGCATTGTGAAAGAATTCCAATTTGCCTCGGAGAATTCTCTGCCACCATTTGCACTAGGACCTTGATCAGATTGCTGGCCTGAGTACATCTCCAATTGTCCAGAAACACCAAAGTTCATCAATCACCTATTCGAGATAAATAGAAGGTAAACACTATGAATGAAACTACCACTACATTGCCTCAAAAGGACACATAAATTCAAATAGCGCCTTGCACAGGGCGTAAATATTGATCAACTGGTTTGTTTGAGGTTGAGGGAAAACAGTATCACCTCAACTGGTAACCCTAACAAAGTTGAAAAGCAACTAGTCCCTTCAAGAATAACCACGCTATCCCAAACTACAGATAAAAAGACGGGCAAAAGAACCACCCACCGTCCAGGCAAAGGCCTGCTGGAACTGCATTACAGCTGGAGAAGACATGCTTCATCCATAGCCTTTGGGAACAAACCAAATCTGCAACAGTCTAAAGAAGCACACAGTCCAGAAAGTGAAACTTTAAACCCAGGGCATAAAGGAGGAGGAGACACAGGAGAAATAACCCCATCATTAAGCAAACAACACTCGCTAACTGAGTCTTTTGGAGCAAGTGTATGAGATGGGAGGAGAGCCGGCTCTTCCTAAAAGACTAAAAACACCAAAGCTAATTGGGAACAGGAAAAGCTACCAAATCTTCAAGAACCAGGCATGTACCACACTAGTACCATGGAGCTTCAAAGAAAAGGGTCATGTTTCACCAGATGAAGAACACGCAAACAAGTTTGGAACCAACCAAGAAGTGTGGTCTCCTTTAGGATATGGCTAGGCAGTTGCCCCTAATAAGAAGCTAAAAGAGCTCTAGTAATGCTGCCGGGAATTTAAACTAAGGGACCTACTTGGATGAGTAAAATCACAGGACTAGCATCTTCAGGAGCGCACGGAAAACATGAAGCTGCCTCCAAGGGCCATCGATCACTTCATAATTTCTTCATAATCTTGGAAAGAACAGAAAATGTGAAATGAAAGCTTGGAGAAATACTTCCGCATCACCAAAGCTCACAGAAGGAAGGGGGCAAGAAGGCAAGCTGAACTGATGAGAGCGTGAGGCTATTTGAATGCGTAGATGGCAGGAGTAGGATCTGCAAGAAATAACTAAGGCAGTGCTGAAAGCTTTCCGAGAGCAGGGGGGCGAAAGCAACCACCTTTGACTACTCCATCGTGTAATGAGGTGGTGTAAAGATCTTGAAAGGAACAGGTGCCAAGATGTTCAAGAAAATAACTACCTGAAAATTACCCCACCGCGGAATCACATGAACCCTTCAACTTCAAAGAGGCCGGCCACCAATTTCACCTGCAAGCGGAGACGAACACCTTGAAGTAATCCAAGAACTCAATAGCTGCTAGATGATCTTTTTTTTTTCCTTTCCTTTTTTGCAGAATTACCTGACGTTGGTGGGCATCGGAGAGAGAGCTCGGTTTCTTGGCCCTCCCCGATCGCAAATTTGACCGCGACGGGAGGGGGTGGTGAAAGATTTTAAGGGCAAGAGGCGGAAGCAAAAGGGCAAGACGGAAGCAAAGAGCCTGCTGCTAGACGGAAGCAAAGAGCCTGCTGCTAAGGGCTTGTCTAGATTGAAACTTTTTTCAACCTGATGAATAGTATCATTTTCGTTTTATTGGGTAAATATTGTCCAATCGTGGACCAACTAGGCTCAAAAAATTCATCTCGTGATTTTCAACTAAACTGTGTAATTAATTTTTTTTTACCTACATTTAATACTCCATACAAGCGGTTAAAAATTGATGTGATGAAGAGAAAGTGAAAAAACTTGGAACTTTGATGGAATCTAAACAAGGCTTAAGTGGTGTTTGTTACCTGCCACTGAGGTCAAATGATTCCTTCTTGCGCTCTGGCAGAGGGTTGTTAACCACTGCAACTGCTCCCTTTCTCTCTCTATCCCTTCCCTTCTCTCTCCTCTCTCTAATATTTTCAAAACCTTAGCCTAAGGCAGTGTTTAGTTCATGAAATGAAAATGTTTGATATCACATCGAATATTTTGAGATGTAGGAAGAGTTTTTTGGATACTAATAAAAAAACTAATTACATAACTCGTCTGGAAACCGCAAGACGAATTTATTAAGTCTAATTAATCCATCATTAGCGCATGTTAGTTACTGTAGCACTTATGTCTAATCATGGACTAATTAGTCTTAAAACATTCGTCTTGCGATTTTCAACCAAACTGTGCAATTAGTTTTTTTCGTCTATATTTAATACTCTATGCATATGCTGCGAGATTCGATGTGATAGTTTGTGGTGAAAATTTTTGGGAACTAAACCAGGCCTAAGCTAACAACACCTAATCAAAGTTAACAGCAGACTAGTGTACTATTAAGAGTAATTTACTGCTTGCTTTACTTTAGTACACAAAGATTAGCTGTAGTAAGGAGAAAATAAAGTAGGGAGTAAAAAAATAGTGTATAATTCTCACCTGCCCAGCCTTGCATACCCTCAATGTCCTGTGGGCCCCAGTTTGCCTGTACACTGGTACTATTGAATATTTGTATATTAGCTTGTTATTTTTATTCTTTATCCAATGGATACATAGCAGCAAGTTTGAACCGAAAGAAAATGATTTATCACCAAGTAGCAAGGCTAGGCGACTGTAAACAGCATTTGAGAAAAAAGTCCACAAATGTGAGTCAGATCATTGAATTGCTTTATGGAGTTTATTTTAAGCTTTATGGTATGCTTGAATTTGTAGGTGTAGCACAGCAGCACTGTTGCTAGTACTACTACTACTTTACCAGGAGTAAATTATGATGGCTTTGTTATAAGGGTATGTAGGGGGTGCTTCTCTTCCACACCAAGCTTTGAATGAGCCATCTCTCTCTTTCTAATTGACATGTTGCCATCTATCTGTACACTTGGTCTTTTTTTCTCATTTCTGCCAGCTTAGCCCGTGTTTAGTTGGCTGTATTTTGGATTTTGGGCAACTGTAGCACTTTCGTTTTTATTTAGCAATTAGTGTTCAAACATAGACTAATTAGGCTCAAAACGTTCGTCTCGTAATTTCCAACCAAATTGTATAATTAGTTTTTTTTATCTATATTTAATGCTCCATGCACATATCGCAAACATTCGATGTGATGGCTGCTGTAGCATTTTTTAGAAATTTGGGTTGAAATTAAACACGGGCTTACCTACAGCCATCCTCTCTCTCTCTAGACACCCAAGGAAAAAGAAAGAACAATAGAGAGAGAAAGAGAGGGAGAAGGTGAGCAAAAACACAAGGAATCTTGTAGGGCACGTTTAGTTCGGTAAAGTTTATGCATAGTGCACGATTCTCCACTGTAGCATTTCGTTTGTATTTATGAATTATTGTCTAAACATTGACTAATTAGGCTCAAAAGACTCGTCTCGCAAAGTTAAAGCAAACTGTGCAATTAGTTTTGATTTCGTCTACATTTAGTACTCCATGTATGTATCACAAGTTTAATGTGACGGAAAATCTTCTTTTTGCATAGTATACTTTTGGAGAACTAAACAATGGCGTAATCTTTTCACCTTCTTGTCTTCTACAGTCTGAAAATGCTGGACACTAGCTGGATTTGAGGGATATGGTCAAAGCATGCACTGTAAGGCATCCTGCTGCTTGCTTGCTTAGGTGTCTCCATCTCCGCAAGATCTTTGGCTGTGCTTATTTGGACGAAATTTAAGAATTTGGCTATTGTAGTACTTTTATTTTTATTTGGCAATTAGTGTTCAATCATGGACTAATTAGATTCAAAACTTTCGTCTCGCGATTTCCAACTAAACTATACAATTAGTTTTTTTTCGTCTACATTTAATGCTCCATGCACGTATCGCAAGATTCGATGTGATGGCTACTATAGTATTTTTTAGAATTTGGTTTTGAAACTAAACGTGGCCTTTCTCTCTTTGCCTCTTTCTTTATAGGACAAAAAAAAACTTACTGGTACATAAGTGATGGAATGACTTCAGCATCAATCAAATCACATGCAGACACGGGATGTTTGATTCATGGACTAAAGTTAGTAGGTGTCCATCGGGTATTCGGATACTAATTAGAATGATTAAACATGAGCCTAATTAGGCTTAATAGATTCGTCTCGTAAATTAGTCTCAATCTATATAATTAGTTTTATAATTAGTCTACGTTTAATACTCTAAATTAGTGTCAAACATTCGATGTGACGGGAACTCAACTTTAGCAGGGGAATCAAACAAAAGTTTGATCACTCTCTGAAAGGTCCTTGTTGGTTTTGATAATTGAGTGACAACCTAGGTGGACTAATTGTGTTTATGTGAGATACACAGGTGATTAGTCCACAGGTACATGTGTATGAGTAACATATGCCATGGAGGTGAAAATGGCTTGGAGATGTTGCAAAGCTCACACATGTGATGATGAAGGAGCTTATTGCATATGAGACATGACATTGAGTCATGTGATCAAGGTGGAGAAGATCAAGACAAGACTTGGCTTGATGGACCGGTTGCAAGCGTGAAGGACAAGTCGGAGGCTTTGGAGTGATGGACCGCGTGGCGGTGAAGCTTGAGCAAGACTTGGCGCCGATGGACGATAGCAACGGCGAAGAGCAAGTAGAGTCAAGATCGATGAACCAATATGATCATGTGATGATATGAAGTGGATCATATCATTGTTGATCGTGTTGGTGCATGTGTTGCATCGACATTGAAGGAGATGGAATGGAATGCGCAAGGCAAAGATATAACCTAGGGCATTTCATTTCACCGGTCATAGGTGTGTAGAGAAGTTTATGACCGGGTTTAGGATAGATGGTCGTACTATCAAGAGGGGCAAACTTATTTGCATATCGGTCATCTAGTGCAACTCGAGTGATCTAACTTTGCATTATCGCTAGGATCGAGTGGCGTGGCAAGTTGAGTGGCTAACATTCTTTGGAAAATGATTGTGAAAATGCTAACACACATACACTTGGTGGTGTTGGCACATTTACAAAGGAGTGGTGTTTGCAGGGGTGAGATGGGTTTGGGTCCCTCTCTCCAAGCTCGGCGGGATTCGGCGCTTTTGGGAAAATAGAATGCCTATTTTCTATTGCACCGGATGCAAGTTCTTGTGGTTAGCACATTGGA